TGGGCAGGGAGACATTATCCAATAGAGATGTTAATTTAGTTAGGTTACTTATCCACCTCTTATGAATGAAAAAGTTTGGTCTGGACTTTGACTAGACCATTCAAGCCCCCTTAATCTGCTCTGATTTCGCTCTGCTCAAACTGTCAGTGGGTAAAAATCCCTCTTCATATTTTTACCTCCTTGTTTTAAAGGCTATCAGCATATCCGCATGTACGACCTGAACTCTAACAACCCAAACCCAGTGATCAACTATGACGGAGTCAGCAAGAACATAACGTCTGTGGGTTTTCATGAGGACGGACGGTGGATGTACACAGGAGGGGAGGACTGCATGGCTCGCATTTGGGACCTGAGGTACTGATAGTTCACTTTCAGCTGGTTGAGAACATTTTTTTTTTTTTTTAAAGCTGAACTTCTGGTCTGTTTTTAGGTCAAGAAACCTTCAGTGTCAAAGGATCTTTCAGGTGAACGCTCCGATCAACTGTGTGTGTCTGCATCCCAACCAGGTGAGCCATTCAGGCCATGATGTGCAACAGTTTACTCCCAGATAGGCGGACAGTCCTGTTATTGTTGAAAGTCACGTAGAGTTTGCTCACTTGGCTGCAAAACTATATTTGCTTTAATAGTTCCGTGGGTTTTTTTGTTTGTTTAGGCTGAGTTGATTGTTGGAGACCAAAGTGGCGTCATTCATGTCTGGGATCTGAAAACAGATCACAACGAGCAGCTGATTCCAGAACCAGAGGTTTCGGTTAATTCTGTTCACATTGACCCGGACGCCAGTTACATGGCTGCAGTCAACAGCTCGGTCAGTAGGCCCACGCAGGCCGTAAGAGGGTGCTGGAGTCACAGAGCGTAGACTCATGTTTCTCCTGCCTCTCCTCAACAGGGTAACTGTTACGTTTGGAACCTCGCTGGAGGCATGGGAGATGAAGTGACCCAGCTTATTCCCAAGACTAAAATCCCAGCACACAAGCGTTACTCGCTGCGCTGCAAGTTCAGCCCTGACTCCACGTGAGTCCTCGTCCTGTGTGTTTACATCTACATGCTGTCAAATTCTTTTCTCTGAGTCTGAGTTATCAGCTTCTGTCTTACAGACTACTGGCTACCTGCTCCGCAGACCAGACCTGTAAGATCTGGAGGACGTCCAATTTCTCCCTCATGACTGAGCTGAGCATCAAGAGCAACAATCCAGGAGAGACGTCGAGGGGCTGGATGTGGGATTGTGCTTTCTCAGGAGACTCCCAGTACATAGTTACCGGTCTGTAGATGAGCCTCTTTCATTCTGGGTTTAATCTCTTACTGTTTTCATCTGGAAAATACCTTTTCTGCATATCCTTTCCTCAGTAAGCTGTCATCACAGCTGCTAAACTACCATTACTTAACTGATTCCCTGTTAAATGTTAATATATGTTGCATGACTACACAGCCATGTAATTAAGCTAATATCTGCGATCCAATTTG